CTTTGATGCTGGCTGCAGCAGACTGACAGCCTGTGGTATACGTAAGGGAACAGTGCCTCCCATTTGTAACCCACTTGGAAGTTGTGCGCTCATGTTCAAGATTACTGTCTCACTTAATGCATAAAACTCTACCAACAAGGCTGATTAAAAAATTCTCCTTGCTTTCAAGACTTAGACAAGGTCCTGATGTAGTCACTACTGTTATGCCACTTTTAGTATCCAGCACCAGTGTTGAACCTCTTGTTTAATACTCTGTGATACTGGAGATGGAACCCAGAGCCTGTCCCATGGCAGGCAAGTGAGTTACATCCTCAGTCCACAGTGCAGAGTCTTTATTCTTCAAATTCAGAGATATTTTGAGACATCAAACCAGTGTTTGCCAACTCCTTAAATACCTTATGGTAGTTAGAAAGAAAATGGAACCCTGCTCAGTGAATAATTGTGCCCTTAAGGAGCCTGAAATCTTTGGATAGGACAGACATATTCCTTGAATATAGACCTAAAGATAATGTACACTCAACTGTGACTATGATTGTGAGTGCTGGAGGTGATCAGGGAAGGGAGAGACCTACCTAAGGGAAACTTTGTGGAGAATGTAGGACTTAAGTTTATTCTTTGAGTGTGTGTATATACACCATATATGTGTGTGCACATAATGTATTAATGTGAGCACATGGATGTCATGGCATACCTGTGGTGGTCAGAGGACAACCTTAAGGTGTCGTTCCTCACCTCCTGCTTTGTTTGAGACAGGATCCCTGTTGATTTTCCTCTGCACAGGCCAGGCTAGCTGGGCCATGAACTTCTGGGAGTTGGCTGTCTCTGCCTCCCATCTCTCCATAGGAGCACTGGGATTATAGACACTCAGACTACACATCTGGCTTTAATGTGGGTTCTGGGGATTTGAACTCAGGTCCTCATGCTTGTTTTACCCACTGAGCTGTCTCCCTAACCCCTTTAGCGTATTCTTTTTAGGTTTTTAAATTCTTCTAAATATTATAATGTTTTACCTGCTTGTATGTAAGTGTACCATGCGCATGTAATGCCCATGGAGGCCAGAAGAGGACCTGGAATTGGAGTTAGAGATGGTTGCTAGCCACCATGTAGGTGCTGGGACTGAACCCAGGTCCTTTGCACCTTTGCAAGAGCAGCTAGTGCAGTGTTCTTAAGCACTGAGCCATCTCTCTGGTCCCCTTACATTTATTCTTTTTGTTTGTTTGTTTTGGTCTTTTTGAGACAGGGTCTCCCTGTAGCCCCAGCTGTCCTGGAACTCACCATGTAGACCAGGCTGGCCTTGAACTCACAGAGATCTGCCTGCCTCTGCCTCTGAGAGCTGGGATTAAAGGTGTGCGCCACCATGCCTGGCTTAAATTTATTCTTAAAAGATATATAAGACATGAAAATAATGAGAAGAAATGTGGTAAAGTACTTGAGATAGAGAAGAGATTCGAAGGCAGACAGACGTGGCCTTCAGGGAATAGGAGGACTGGTTTCACACTGTGGAAGTGAGAGGAAGGCGAGATCAGGACTTAGCTATGGAAGGCCACTGCACGTAAGGTGGGTTAGTGGATGAATCTGTGTGTGTTTCAGCATTAGATAGAACTCAGCTTGTAAAGGTATAGCACCTTCATCCTCAAATCATTGTAATGGAATTTAATTATATTAATTAAAAAGATGTAATAGAAGAGCTAAGACACAGGCACACTCACAGGATATATTGTCTGCCATAATAAAGATAAAATAAGGGTATAGATGTTTTTAAAAATAAAGATAATGAGTAGCTGAGGTAACCATGGGGATTTTCTGTAAGTTGAGAAAGGGTTCTTAGAACTGAAGTGCCACTGTCTTCTATAGTGTATAATACCTAAACATTCTGATAAGCTTAGCATTATTAAGGATAGTGAGGAACTCAAAAAAAAGCAGAGATGTTTTACCTTCTAGATTTTCAAACTAAGTGTCAGTATTAAGCAGGCATCTGTCTATTAATTGAAATCAACTTGCTATCAGTATTAGGAAATACCACTTCTAACTGAAAATAATGTAGCCTCTTTAAGGGTGAAAAACTCCAAAGTAATTTTTTTAAGATCACTAAAAATGTAACTGCAGAGCAGGAGCAGATTCTGTACTTAGTGGCGGTGACCATGGGGATGAACAGGGTGGCAGTGGGCACGACTGCTGGCTCTGTGAGATGCAGTGTGCACGTCAGATTCTGCTCCACTCTCATCACGTGATAAAGTCTAGTTCTGGGGCACTGGGGACCTGTATGAATTGTTCGATATTAAAAACAGCTGCAAATTTAACGCTCCTTTTAAAAAAATATGCTAAAATAGTGCTACTTCAGAACAGTTCCAGAAAAGGGACTGAATAAAAAAAAAAAAAAAAAAAAAAAAAAGAAAAATTAAAATGTTGGGGCTGGAGAGATGGTTCAGCGGCTAAGAGCACTGGCTGCTCTTGTAGAGGACCCAGGTTCGATTCCCAGCACCCACATGGCCGCTGACAACCATCTGAAACTCCAGTTCTAGGGACTCGAAGGCCCCCTTCTGACCTCCACAGGCATTGCATGACAGGTACACATGCAGGCAATACACTCATACTTATGAAATAAAAATATTTTGAAAAAAGTGTTATACACTGTTTCCATCATTTTCATGTGGACTCTGAATGCCAGTTTTAGGATGGAGACTTCAGCTTCCTGTTGCAGGGACTATTACTGGTTCTGTAACAGAAAATAGTAGGTGTGTTCTTTGTAAGTATGGAGCTGTCTTATGAGACGTGTTTAGTTGCATAGCCACAAATGGACTGCAGAAAATTCAAATTTTATTTAGAATCTTCATATATTTACTCTGGAAGTCATGTGAATTATGCCAGTCTTATATACATTTTGATAAAAATTATGTTTCAAATTATCATGTAGCAAAATCGCCAAGTGGAGAGCTTGTGCTGTATTTGTCTGCTGACTCCATGTGAGTTGGCTGAAGATGATCTGATCTGCCACGGTGGCAGTGCCTTGTCTAAATCAGCTTTTTAAGGCTAACAACCAGAAGATAGTTTCAAAGTCATATTTCACTGTCTTACCTGCCCCACAGAATTTACAAAGCGTGGAGAGGCTGGGGAAATGGTTCAAGATGGGCTATGTAGTCATGAGGACCTGAGTTAAGTCTCCTGCACACATGTACAAAATCTGGCACCTGTAATCCCAGTGATAGGAGGTGGAGATGGGATAGTCCCTGGGACTTCCTGGCCAGCTAAATCCTAGCCAAATTGGCAGGCTCCAGGTTCAGTGAAAGATCCTGCCTCAAAAAATAAGGTGGAGAGCTATTGAGAAAGCTGTTTTGATGTCAACCTCTAGCCTCCACGTACGTGTGCTCACACACCCATACATTGGCTGTACAACCATGTACATAAGCCGGGCGTGGTGGCGCACACTTTTGATCCCAGCACTTGGAAGGCAGAGGCAGGTGGATCTCTGTGAGTTCGAGGCCAGCCTGGTCTACATAGTGAGTTCCAGGACAGCTGGGGCTACAAGGAGACCCTGTCTCAAAAAGACAAAAAATAAAAATAAACATGTACATACATGAAAATGTAGACATCTGTGGTTAGATTTTAATCTTTCTGAAGATCTTTTCTTGTCTTTATATAGAATAGATACTGGTTTTGGATGGAGGAATAATTTTGCATATTATGAGCTAAGTATCAGTTTTTAACTGCATGATTTTAGAAGTCTAACAGTAACTCAGGAAAGGTACACGAGATGACTGAGGTCCCTCTATAAATTTGAAAGTTCAATTTTTCTAATGCTAAAGGCAAAGATTCTAACCGTTGTTAGAGTCGATTTAATGTGACCATATTTCTGTAATAAAAAGAAGGCAAAAGTTAACTGAATGTCTTTTTTGTACCAGGCTTTGTGCTACACATTAGAAAGAGAAAAAAAGAAAACAATAGACATAATTAGATGGCAATTAGATACTTGTCTCTTGCTTTCCCTGGCCTCATAGACTAAGAGTATTAAACATGTAAGATTTTGGGTTATGGTGGCACAGGCCTTTAATCCCAGTACTTGGGAGGCTGAGTCAGGCGGATCTTGTGAGTTGGAGGCCACCCTGGTCTACATAGTGAGTTCCAGGTCAGCTGGGGCTACAGGGAGACCCTGTCTCAAAAAGATGAAAAAACAAAACCAAAAAGGAAAACAAAGTAGATTGAACCAGTTCAGTTTCAGTTCTATAAGGAAACCCCCTGGAGGGGACTTGGGCCAAAATGGAATCAGTGGGTAGAGTCTCTAAGATGGGAATGTGGGGAGATGAGCAATCCAGGCAGAGGAAGCAGCCTGTGCTCTTCAGGACCCTGAGGAAATGGAGAGGCACGTTGTGTTTTGTTGAGCAAGAACTCTTGGCATAGGCAGGTGTACTCTGTGTACAACCCAGAGGGTTCATCCTCTTTAATTATTGAGAATCATTAAAAAGTGTTGAGTATGTATGATAGTATTATCTTGGCAAGATTTTTTTTTTTTTCGTCTTTTTGAGACAGGGTCTCCCTATAGCACCAGCTGTTCTGGAACTCACTATGTAGACCAGGCTCCCTTGAATTCACAGAGATCCGCCTGCCTCTGTCTCCCAAGTGCTGGGATTAAAGGCATGTGCTACCACGCCCACCTTATCTTGGCAAGATTTTAACTTTTCACATAGCTTTGATGCGAAATCTGAATGACAGTAGTTATGAATAATTAGCCTATCATTACTATAGTTTAGATGAGCATGATGAACATCTGAAATGATGGCAGGAATAACACAGGGATAGATCCTCAGGTACCTTAGAATCAGTAATGTTTAGTGGTTGGCTGTGGCCAATGAGAAGAGACCAATATAAACCCTAAGGGATGGGATTACATGGTGAGATTATCACTGGATTTCTTAGAGAACTTGGATGCATGCAGATAACTTGTACAAATGAAAACATATAACAGTAACTTTCAAGTTATTAATTTTCTCTGTTTCTCTTTATAGATGCCACTTCAAATGAACAGCAAGAGCTTTTCTGTCAGAAGCTGCAACAGTGTTGTATACTGTTTGATTTCATGGACTCTGTTTCAGACTTGAAGAGCAAAGAAATTAAAAGAGCAACACTGAATGAACTGGTTGAGTATGTTTCAACTAATCGTGGTGTAATTGTTGAATCAGCGTATTCTGATATAGTAAAAATGGTAAGCCTCTAGACTTACTCCTCAGATTTGTATAAATTCAAAGATCTGAGGTACATGAATTAAACTGACCAATAAATATACAGTAACTAACATACTCAAAAAAGAATGTTCTTCTAAAAAGCGCATTAGAAATATCCATTTCACTGATGTGACCATTACTTGTTGGAGTTGGGGAAACTAAAAATTACAATGGCTGGTGGCTACCATAGTGAATAGTTGATCTCGAACCTGGAAGAACGGTGTAGGCTCAAGATAATGCTCTTGCAGAAGACTGGAGGTTAGTTTCCCAGCACCCAGGTTGAGCAAGTCACAGTCACCTGTAACTTCAACTCCGGGGGGGATCCAGAGCCTCTGGCCTCCAAGAGCACCTGTACTCGTGTGTACATATACTCACTCATTCTCTCACTCCTCTCGTGTGTACATATACTCACTCATTCTCTCACTCCTCTTTTTGAAAAAGACATAGGCTCAAGATTATACAGATTGAGCAAGAGGCATGGTGGTACATGTCTTTAATCCCAGCACTCAGGAGGCAGAAAGGAGGCTGATCTTTTGAAATCAAGGCCAGCCTGGTCTACGTATAGAGTTCCAGAGGAGCTGGGGCTTCTGGGAGACCCTGTCTCCAAAACCCCTGAAAAACAGAAACCAAAACAACAAAAGATAATGCAGATTGATAATATCAGAGGGAGTGATGGCTGAGAATTGTAGAGAGCAGGGAGACAGGTAAGCAGTGGGAAGGGAGTCAGGCTAAAAGAAATCCTATTTAGAATGTTTTAATATCATGCTCAGATCTTTAGGGTTAAGTAATACTACTTTTTGAAGATTCTTAAACCAAAAATCAGAAAGCTAAAGTGCAAAAATGTTTGAGCACGTGATTCCACAAGTGGAAAATTTCACATCTGACCTCATGGATTGAAGTTGAAACAGGTGCACTAAAAATACTGACTGTAACCTTTAGGCTTTGTGTATAAAGAACATGCAACAAATGAACTCCATGTTTAGTGCCCAAGATACCTCATTATGTGTAAATACAGGTATTCCAAAATCTAGAAGAATCTAGAGCACTTCCTGTTCTAAGCATTTTACATAAAGAATGCTCAGCCTCAATAAATAAATAGCAGAGTATCTCATGTGAAAAGTGAACCACTACTCTGTTGATGTAAGGCTGTTTAGGATGTTGTTGATGAGTAATTTAAGCTAGTTCTCAATCAAAATAGAAGTTTAGCATTCATGGCCTGCATTTGTTGCCTTCTAAGAAAATACAGAACTTCAGTGGGTGTGATTAGAATCACTGAGCAGACCATTTAAACTCACCCCAGGGCGTAGAAGCTGCACTGTAAGATCTGTTCTGGGGGAGAGCAGAATGGATAGTAGGCAAAGTAATTTGGCCCCGGTATATGAGTTGGGCTTCTTTCATCTCGTCTGAAGACCTGTCAAAGGAACTTAGGAATTTGTATTGTGTTCTTAGAAACAGAAATTAAAGTCCCAGTTTTTTTAAAAAAAAGATCAGCTATAAATGGAACATTAATCAGAATAAAATTAGCTTCCTATACTCCCCCAGTTTGTATATTTAAAAGGGAGTGACAGTTTAGGAATGTAAATATTAAATATTGATGGGCTTCTTGATTTTATCTTTTTCATTAAATTTCAGGGGTAAGGGACTGGAGAGAGGGCTCAGTGTTAACTCAGCTGCTCTTGCAGAGGACCTGGGTTTGAGTCCCAGCACCTACATAGGGGCTTACAACCATCTGTAACTCCATTTCTAGGGGATCCAACACCCACTTCTGACCTCCAAGGGCATTGTATGACATGGGTCCCCTTAAATGCAGGCAATACATTCATGTACATTAAAATTTTAAAAATTTCAAGGGTAAAAGTTGTTGCATGTTACTGATTTCAGATGGTTTGTATTGAGGAATGTTGAAGTTCCAGTGTCAGATACTCTTTTTTTGGTCTTTTTGAGACAGGGTCTCCTTGTAGCCTCAGCTGTCCTGGATCTCACTATGTAGACCAGGCTGGCCTTGAACTCACAAAGATCCGCCTGCCTCTGCCTCCCAAGTGCTGGGACTACAGGCGCGTGCCACCATGTGCAGCCCCAGATACTCTTTTATAAAGTCGATAGGTGTTGAAAATATTTGAGTCACATTATTCTATGATTTGCTATGCATTCTTGGATTTAATTTCTGTGTTCTAGTGAAAAGATGTGTTTTATTGTTTTGTTATTTAACTTCAGGTTACTTCTAGATAAGGGATGAGCCACCTCACCAATGTAGTCCTTTAACATGCTTCTGAATATAGGTTATTTTATTGGTGGCTACAAGGTTAATTTTTTCTTTTGCTGCTGACAATTATGAGATGTATTTCATTTTTCAAATTCTAGGATGTTTTGCTATTCTTTGTGAAATTGATGCCTATCAAATGCTTACCGGTTTTAGCCTTAAATTCTGGCTTTGAGCTCTAAGTTCTAGATGGTTAACTTTCTGGGACTTAGGGTTAAGGTAATACTGTTGGCAGGTATTTGACTGTCCTAGGTACCACTTTTTTACAGTAGTTGGAAACTGACTTGTACCATTAAACATTACTTGTCCTACCTTCCTACCCCAGGTAGTTTACCTCAAATGGTCAACCTCACAGTAACTCAGCCTTAAATGTTTACTGAACCATCTGATCTGTCAGTCTGTTCATCTTAAAAAAATTGTGAGTTGGAACTACAGTATAGTCTTTGCTGGAGAGAAAAGGGTGTATGTGGTTACCTTGGTGCTGGCTGACACAAATGATGCTAAGATTAAGTACTATACAGAATCCAAACTGGATTTCAGAGCACTTCCTGATTTCAGAGTAATTCATGTTTTAAAGTCTCAGTGTATTGAAATACAGTAAAGGAAATAAATCATTGTGAAATTTTATAGCTATGTATGTAAAACAGTGAAGACGTCCCCCTTCCTTCTTTTTCTCCCTATATATATGTAAGAATGGAGAATTTTACCTAACTCTTAGGTAGTAGGAACAGAATGGCTGGATTAGACTATGGAAGGAGTTGTAAAAAGATGAATCATAATATGGAGAGGTGGTGTTAGTAGTTTGTCCTTTCCCCATGATCCCCCGCCCCCCCCCGTCCTTCATTTTAAACAAAACTTGGTAAGAACACCTGGTAATTTAAGGAAGAAGAATATGGAGATAATCTTGTAATCATTGGTGCTCTGGGGTCCAAAGAAGTCCCTTACTTGGTAGAGAAAGAGAAACACCTGTCCTCTTTATATCTTGAAGAGATTTATTGGTTTGAACTAAATTTATAGCCATAGCTTTTTTCTTTAAAAATGGTAAAAAGAATTCACTGTTGAATTGAACTACACAGCAAAGAGCATAAAAGCCCAACTTATGTTTTCTTTACAGATAAGTGCTAACATCTTCCGTACTCTTCCTCCAAGTGATAATCCGGATTTTGACCCGGAAGAGGATGAGCCCACGCTTGAGGCCTCTTGGCCTCACATACAAGTATGGAGCATGCGTTTGTATTGATCATTTTTACATTTCAATATTCTTCTGATTCCGAAGGCTTATTTAAAATATTTTACTTTTGCCAGGCATGGTGGCACATGCCTCTGATCCCAGCACTCAGGAGGCAGAGGCAGGCGGATCTCTGTGAGTTCAAGGCCAGCCTGGTCTACACAATGAGTTCCAGGACAGCTGGGGCTACAGGGAGACCCTGTCTCAAAAAGACCAATAATAATAATAATAGTAATAATAATTGGCTTTTAAGTTGGGCGTGTTGTCACTTGACTGTAATATGAGCATTTGAGAGGCTGAGGGCATGAGTTTGAGGCCTGCCTGAACCACATAGTGAGACCTTGTCTTTGAAAAGAAAAGAAAAAAGGAGAAAGGGGGAGTGGGCACCGAGATGGCTCAGTGGGAAAAGGCACTTGCTGCCAAGTCTGATGACCTGAGTTCAGTCTGAGGACCCACATGGTAGAAATAGAGGGCCAGCTCCTATAGGCTGGCCTCTGGTCTCCACATGCAAGCTGTGGTGTGTGCACACACAGTGAGTAACTGGTAAAGATAAAGTGATACAAAATAATACTATCTTTAACACATTTTCTTAACATTATTTTGTTTTCTAAAAATAATGTTTTTTTATTGTGAAAAATACACCTGATGTTAAAGACACAGTAAGAAAATGATATTCTGTAATTCTGCTCATTCTGTCCATTTTATCTGTCATGCCTGGCTTAACTTTAACGTTGACATTTTTAATTGACAAGTTATATGATCTTCTCTGTCCTCCTTTCCTCTTCCCCCTCCCTCCCTCTCTCTAGACATTTTTTGTTTTGTACTAAGTGTTTACATTTTATATTTAGCTAATCAGATCTTTATTTAGTTCTAGGAATTCGATAAAGTGAAAATATTACTGAGGAAGAGTAATCTCAAGACCTTTCAAATATGTTTCCTTGACTCTTTTCGTGAATGCAGATTTGCAGTTTACTGTCTTCCTTCTTTTCACAGTAATGGGGTTTGTTGAGCAGTGGAGCAGAGGCAGACTGAACAAGGGAACAAGAGAAAGACATTCCTCAGTATCCAAGGGAATTGAAAGTAGTATTAGGGAGATTGGAGAGATGGCTCAGTGGTTAAGAGCACTGGTTGTTCCTGCAGAGGACCCGATTTTGATTCCCAGCACCCACATGGCGGCTAACAACCATCTGTAACTCCAGTTTCAGGGGATCTGATACCTCCTCTGACCTCCATGGGCACTGCACAACATGGCCACATTTACATGCATGCAGGCAATACATTCATACACATAAAAAATAATAAAAAATTTAAAAATAGTATTACATGGTAATTATTAATGCACAACAGTTTTTAAGTATTTATCTTCCCTAGTTATTAAGTACCAAGAATATAGCAATTTTCTGTATACCTACTTTTATATAGTGTAGGATTGTGTATTTTCATTTTCTTAATTACTGTAGTGAAACAGATAATTAAGATTTAATTATGTGGGGCTGGAGAAATGGCTCAGCAGTTAAGAACACTTGCTGTTCTTCCACAGGACCTGAGTTCGATTCCCAGCACTCACATGGTGGCTAACAACCATCTGTAACTCCAGTTCCAGGGCATCCAACACCCTCTTCTGGCCTCTTTGGCTCTTGTATACATGTGGAGCAATTGCTTACATGCAGTCAACACACATAAAAATAATAGCATTTTAAAAAAAAATTTATTATGTGAGACAAAGCCAGGTACAGTCTCACATACCTATAGTCCAAGTTACTTGGGAGGCTGAGGCTGGAGGATTGCTTCAGCCATGAGTTTTAAGACCAGAGTAGGCAGTATGTCTTTATTTTAGGGAATAGAAGAATATTCCTAGTCCCTATTATTAGAAATTAGAGTAGTAACATGCATTTTACAATGTACACCTTTACATTAGATAAACTTTTGGCCAGAGTGCTGAACTCAGCAAATACCTTACATACTGAAGGAGAATGGCTACATATTTTATAGTATACATGTTGTAATAATAAGTACATACTTTGTCAAAGATGATCACTTGAAGAAGAGAGAATGCAGGATAAGGTACATAGAGAGTGACACTGGGGATGAGATTTGGTTTATAGAAGCATAATATTACAGTACCATTTTGAAGATTGTCAGCTCTCTAGATCAATAGTTTCTTCTATCCTTGTTTGGAATAACTATTCCACATATTAAATAACCTTTGTCGTCATCTTGTCAGTGCTGCTAAGTTGGGTGCATGACAGCAGACCTCTGCTAATCGTCACTTGCCACTTCATGTGCTTTGTGTCAGGGAAATGATGTTGATGGGAATTATTTAAGAAATTACATATAGATGGTGAATGATACAGTGTCCAGCTAGATAAATGGTTTAGAGAATTTGGAGCTTGATATCATTTAAGTCTCCCAGGAGAGATGCTGTTTCAAAAACTTCAATCTTGTAGTCTGAATTTCCGAATAAGTACTTAGCACTGGTCTGCCTGAAGAACTGAGTCTGATTCCACACCCCCAGGGCATGCTCTGAACTGGCTTTGTCTCAAGACACACACATCTTTCTTTCTATAAAAGCCCTGCTCTTTCTTTCTTCCTGTCCAGGTCTAAGTGAATGCAGACCACCACATCCCACACTGATACAGCTCTTCGTCAAATGTCTCCACTCAAAATCGGTGCCAGATTTATTTGTGTACTCCTCTTATTTTTTGTTCTGTCTTCCTCCTTGGATAGGCTTTCTGGGCTGCACAGTGCCCAATACCTGTTCACGCTAGATGTAGCTCACCCAGCAGTAAACTTGAAAATAGGCACTAAATAAGTTGTGTTGTCAGCAAAGCTGCATAGCACAAGTCTTCAGAGCACCCCAGGCATGTCTGTGCCCCAAACCAAAATTATGTATAGTGTTGTTACATAGGTATCCACGAATAAAAACTTACTGGACACCAGTTCTTTTTCTTGTTGTGTTCTTAATGCACAGGTAACATTGCAAGGTAATATTTGATTAAATGAGCATTGTTCCTTGTGCCTAGATAGGTAAAGGTACATTTAAAAAAATGTAAGTTGGTTTGCTGGCCATGGTGGCATACGTCTTTAAAAATCCCAGCACTTGGGAGGCAGCGGCAGGCGGATCTCTGAGTTCAAGGCCAGCCTAGTTTACATAGTGAGTTCCAGGACAGTTGGGAATGCAGAGAGACCCTGTCTCAAGAAGACAAAAAAAAAAAAAAAAAAAAAAAAAAAAAAAAAGTAAATTGGGCTGGGGAAGGGGCAGCATGTAGGAGGCTGAGGCAGAGGAACCGGAGTTCAGAGACTGTTGCACTATGTGTGAACCTGTCTCAAAAACCCTTACAAAACTGTATGTACCCAGATCTCAAAACTAGTCAGCTAGTGTTATTCAGCTCACAGATGCAGAACTCTGTTGAGTGATATGGCCCAAATCTCTGCTGCGTTTGTGTGTTGTGAGGTCTAGGAGCTCATGGAGCCACATCTGTCTTGTTCTTTTCTTTCCTTTTTTATCGGGCACAAGTATCTAAAGTTTCTTTTTTCCTTTTTGCATATGTATGTGTGTGTATACATGTGTATGAGTGCACATGCATGTGGAGAGCCAAAGTTGACATGTTTTCCTTGATTGCTCTCAACTTTTTATGTGTAGAGGTAAGGTCTCTCATTAAACCTGGAGCTCACAGATTCCAGGTAGTCTGCCTAGCCAGCTTGCCCGTCTGCCTCCACAGTACTGAAATTATAGAGAGGCAACTCCTCCTGTCCAACTTTTTCTCTTTTTTGGAAGATCTTTTTAAATGTGTTTATCTGTATGTGGGTATGGACACATGAGTACCAGTGCCCATGGAGGCCAGAAGAGGGCATCAGATTCCTTGAGGCTGTTGGTTGTGATCTGCCTGATGTAGGTGTTAGGAACTAAACTCAGGCTCTCTGCAAAAGCAGCGAGTACTCGACTGCCATCTCTCCAGCCTTCATATGGCTGCTCAGGACCCAAACTCTGAGCTCTGGTCCTCACACATGCAGAACAGATGATTTTCCGTGGAGCCCAGAACCCCAAAATGCATGTGTGTTTGTTTTCTTGAGATAGGGTCTCCCTATAACCTCAGCTGGCCTGGAACTTGCTATGAAGACTAAGCTGGCCTGAATCTCACAGAGATCTACTTGCTTCTGCTTCTAGAGCACTAGGATTAAAGGCATGTGCCACCATGCCCAAATAAAATATTTCTTAAATTACCTTTTTATTTGGGGATCTAATCCTCTTTTACTTTCAGATTGCTAAGCTGACTTACTGTTTACTTGTATTTTACAAATTAAGGTATATCTGAGGCTAATTGCCTGCCTTTTGTAGCTGTTAGGTTACAGTTAAAAAACTTTAAGCTTAGGGGATGGAGAGATGGCTCAGCGGTTAAGAGCACTGACTGCTCTTGCAGAGGACCTGGGTTTGATTCCCAGCACCCACATGGCAGCTACGAACCATCAGGAATCCGAAGCCCTCTTCTGACCTCTGCGGCATTGCATGACATGGGCGCACTCACATACGTGCAGGCAGTACACTCACACACATAAAATAAATAAAATATTATTTAAAAAAATTTTTAAGCTGTACTTTCTCCTTGACAGTGTGATGGTGACAAATGGAACCAGGTGTTACTTGAGTCTGAGGTATTATTCTAGAGGTCAGTTTGCTACTACACAACAGTTGCATGGTGCATCTCAATAGAAGGCCTGCTTGTTCTCAGGTCTGTGCTTGTGCAGGTTGGTTTGTTACTCTCCAGTGTGAGGAAGCTGTGTTGCTTTGTTTTTCCCCATTCTCAATTTATAGTCACTATTGATTTATGCGCATGTGGAGGTCAGAGGACAACCTGCAGGAGTTGGTCTTTCCTTCCACCATGTTGGTCCTGGGAATCAAACCCAGGCCATCAGGCTTGACAGCAGACACCTTTACCCTGAGCCATCTTGCCAAGCCTCCAAATTCTAGTTTTATAGAAAGACTTGAAGATTTTCTTGTTACACACTGCTCACTCTTACTGTTTTTTGGTCTTTTTTGAGACAGGGTCTCCCTGTAGCCCCAGCTGGCCTAGAACTCGCTGTGTAGACCAGGCTGGCCTTGAACTCACAGAGATCTGCCTGCCTTTGCCTCCGAGTGCTGAGACTAAAGGTGAGCACCACCACACCCGGCCTCCACACTGCCCAGTCTTACCTAGAGGTTTCTGAGCCTGTGTTTGAGAAACTCTTGGTGAAATTGAGGTAGGTTAATAGTGCACCAAGGAAGGAGCCATCCTCATACCTTAGTGGTGCTGTTGTTGTCTGTCCTATAGATCATTCTCTCCACCAGTCATGCAAAGCAATACACCTCATTACGAAACCAATTGTAAATATATAGTTTTTTAAGTACTTTATTTTTAGAAACTATTACCAATCACCTGCATTTACAAGGAGGTATATTTTTACATGAAGTCAAATTTGGGGCAGAATTTTACAGGCCCTCATTTTAACTTTTATTGGCTTTCTCTCACAGTTGGTGTATGAATTCTTCTTGAGATTTTTGGAGAGTCCTGATTTCCAGCCTAGCATTGCAAAGCGATACATTGATCAGAAATTTGTACAACAGGTGAGGAACTCTCATATCTCTTATTTTCCTACCTTAGTTATTAACTTGTGACTAAGAGTAGTCTTCCAAAACCTAAATGATTTAAAATACTTAGCTATTATAAAAGTAGCTTTGAGGGCCTAGAGATGGCTTGGAGGCTAAGAGCCCTTGTTCTTGAGATCCAAGTTCAAGCCAGGCATGGTGGTGCACACCTTTTATCCCAATACTCAGGAGGCAGAGGCAGGGAGACATCTGTGAGTTCAAGGCCAGCCTGGTCTACATAACAAGATCCAGCCAAGGCTGCATATTGAGACCCTGTCTCAAAAAAAAAAGAGCCAAGTGTGGTTCTCAGCACCCATGTCAGGTACCTTATAACCACCTGTAACTGTAGTTCCAGGAGTCTGATGCCCTCTTCTGGCCTCCATAGGTAGCAGTAGCAATACACAAGTGGCATACACAAACATATACACTTAAAAACATGCACTTTTAAAGTAGCTTTGAGAAGTTAAGAGTACTTGTATCAAGGGTGTGCACTAATGAAGTCAAATTGTCCTTTCTGTAGTCTCGACTTTGGTATGATCATTTAACCTCAGCAAAACTTGTGTTTTAAATTGTTTTAAAGATGTATTCTTATTTATGTGTATGTGTGTCAGTGTGAGTTTATGTGCATTCATGTGTGTGCAGATGCCTTCAGAGGCCAGAGGACGTCAGATTTCCTGAAACTGGAGTTACAAGAGGTTGTGAGCTGCCTGATATGGGTGTTGGGATCCAAACCTGGGCCTTCTACAAGAGCAGTAAGCGCTCTTAACTAGTGAGCCATCTCTCCAGCCCTGTTTTAAAGTTTTAAGTCTTTGAGCTTGAAATGTGTTTTAAACACTGACTTTGAGCTGACGGTCGGGGGGATTGTGAGGAGTTTGAGCTCTGGATACCGTTCCTTTTTCCTTTCCTCTCAACATCATGGCCGCCAGCCCACCCAGTTCCTTAAACCACAGACACAGGATCCTTAAGGGGAGAAGGTAGAGTTAAGCACATGCAGCACTTTCTTCCCTTTTGGAACCTACATATAATTAGTTTCTAAGAATGTGTCTATTTCTGTTTATATTGTCAAAATTGTTAAAATAATTTAGAAGCCTCTTTTTAAGCATTTGAAATTTGCCTGGCCCTAAACAGAACTGTGAAGTGGACCAAGCTTTTCTAGGTCCATTTTCTCTTTTAAAGACCATTGTCAATATGGAATGCCTTGTTGGGAATTTGATGCAAAGGCCACAATTAAAATCATTATGAGGCCCTTTCAGACCACTGTTGGGTGTCCCATATGATTAAACATGAGTTCCACATATTTAGAACTACCCCTGACTCCTATAAAGTACTAGTTGCTGTGGAGTGCTGATAAACAAGAAACAATGTCTGCTTAGAGGAGTTACTTTCTTGTTTGGCTCTGTGGGATACATTCAGGACCCCTGCTGACCAGCAATTGTATTTCACACAACAGCAGATTGAGAGGAACCTTCCTTTAGCGCTTCAGTCTAGAGCTTGAGATACTCAGGCTGCTGGACTTTTCTTGACATATGGAGCAAGGAGAAGCCTGGTGGAGTGGACCCATGTCCTGCATTGTACTTGAGAGTTTCAATTATCTGAGAGGCTGAGGCCGGGTAATTTCGTTCCAGCAGTTCTATGTGACTGTTTTCACAGCTGCTTCTCTGAAATATTCTTAGGGTGTTGCTTCCAGAAACTGACATGACAGTTCTCAGCTTTTGTATTTGGAATGATGTGAAAGATTGCTTTATTAAGACTCAGAAGAGTAGGAAAAATTTTATTACATTTTTTTGAAAAAATTTGCAAAACTTCAATTTATGTTCAAACTGGAGAGTATCTGAAGGAAACTAAGATGTACTGTTTGGGTGTGCGAGGCACTGTTCAGTGCTTTTGGGTAGAGATAGCCCTCATTCAGCTTCATGTCACTCGTAGGCAGCACAATTTGAATTTGAACTAGACTCCCTAACCTTGATAGTATCTGCTTCTAAGGCCAGGGGTTATGAATTACTCTTTAAAAGCAGTTTGATAAAAGCAAGTTTCCTGATTCCTGGTTGTTTCATCATGTGAGTATATTTCTAATAAATTATAATACATAAAAATGTCTTGATTTGAAACATAAATTTGAGCATAAAATGAGTAGTTTAGCCACTTAAGACTAAGTTGGGCTAAATTTATCAGCCATATTGACAAATACTTGTGTCCATGGATACTTTTGGCTAGAGCTTGGTACAGTGTCCTGACCGAACTAAAAATGAGTGCAGACCATAAGCAGATCATGTTTGGAGGCAGGTAAATCTGACTCAAGTTGTCACTACCTAAAAAATAGCTACTTAGGTTTAAAATCTACATGTAATTGAAGACAGAATGGAGTAAGAACTGATGCAGTTCACAGCTTACCATCTTTCACGGACCTGCCCAGTTCCAAAAGTCAGAACATACAGTTCTAGTAGATTATGTGTATTTACATATGTATGGTATGGTTTTGGTTTTGGGTTTTTTTTTTAAGACCAGGGTATCATTGTGCAGTCCTAGATGGCCTGAATGTACACTACGCTGGCCTCAAACACAGAGATCTACCTGCCTCTGCCTCCTAAGTGCTGGGATTGAAGGCATGCACCACCACATCCAGCTGCTATGTCTCAAAACTTAAACTTTTAATTATTAAAGATAATTAGACATCTCTTAAATTTTAATGCTTTTAAAAGAAATAACCAACCCCCTAAGCTTTTCAATGTTTTATTTGCTTAGCACAAATAAAATCAGAGAAGGCAGAATATTTAAGAAAAAAATTACAAATTTTTTTAGATAAGTGTAGAATAAAATCAGAAGAAAAAGAGCACTTTTAGCTCGATTATTTTTTAAAAGTAATTTGTCAGATTTTTTTTAAAGCTCCTGGAGCTTTTTGATAGTGAAGATCCCAGAGAACGTGACTTCCTGAAGACTGTTCTGCATCGAATTTATGGAAAATTTCTTGGACTAAGAGCATTCATCAGAAAACAAATTAACAACATTTTCCTCAGGTAAATCAATCTTATGCTAATTTATAGCACTCCCCCCTTATCTTTTCCCAAGCTCCTTTTAGGTTAATTCTTAATATCTAAAACCTGGATATTTTAACAAATGAGTGAAATTTTATAGTAATGAGGACAGTGCTTGGCGTTTGGTTTCTTTTCTTTTTTTTCCTGTACTTGCCTCCCAAGTGCTGGGACTACAGGTGTTCACCACCATGCCCAGCTTGAGGACAGTGTGTGATAGGTAATACCAATGCTGTATTTATTTAAGATGGGTTGAGAGAATTTACTAAATTTTTCTTTGAACTCTTAAGATTTTTTTGTGTGTAAATATTGCTGAAACCAGTACCTGTGGAAACACATTCTTTTGACTGTCTGACATAACTAATTAAATACATATGGGACCTATCATTTGAATACTTTATAAATGTTAATCTGTTAAAATATTTGCCTCAAATTGGGCTGGAGAGGTGGCTCAGCGGTTAAGAGCACTGACTGCTCTTGCAGAGGACCTGGTTCTATTCCTAGCACCCACATGGTGGCTAATAACTGTCCTTAACTCCAGTTTCAGGGGCATCTGATGCCCTCTTCAGACCGCCGCAGCACTGCATAACATGGGTGCATTCACATACATGCAGTCAGTACACTTGTACACATAAAATTAAATATTTGCCTCAAATCAAGAGATTTCACATTAACGCCTCTACTTCAGGTTTATTTTCTTTGCCTCAGTTAATTGAAGACGGGAAGTAAGGCTGTCAGGGAGATGAGTGGTGTCTGCCTCCTGGAATCTCTCCAGTTCTCCATATCTCCCTATCTACTGTGGCTACGGGTCAGCCCTGCCTCTTCCTCTTGTCATCTGCCTTAGTGGCAGTCCCAATATTGGAACGCTAGATAGCCTATGTAATGTGAGGCCTAGGAAAATTCCAGGCAATTTAAGAAGTGAGTCCGTATCACTTGGGTTTTGTTGTGAATAGAGGTTTCCTGTTTTGGAAAAGTTTCTTTGAGCAAATCTGTCTTTTTTTGTATAGTAAATTGAATGTAAATCAGAGGAAATAGTACTGTCACCTTCATATGACAAAATTTAGAAGTCTATGTGACTTAGTGGGAAATGGATCTTTTTGTCAACATTGCTATGAAGTTGGGCTGGGGATGCAGCTCCATTGAGTGGAGTGATTGCCTAGCATTCCAAACCTAGGGTTCCATTCCTAGTGCCATATAGAGCCTACCAGGTATGAGGCCACACAACCTGTAATGTCAGCACTCGGGAGGTGGAGCAGGACGATTGGGAGTTCAAGGTTGGCTACATCCCAAGACCAGCCTGGAATACATGAGGTCCTCTCAATAGAGAGGTCGTGGGTTCCTGTGAATTAACTGGTTTGGGGTTAAGTAGTTAACAGAAGAAAAAAAAACACAAGCATTCCCTGTGCCTTTCTGTTGCCCACTGGATTGGTTTCTTTCCCATCCTGCCTGTTTTCTGGTGTGTGAGTTTTACTACCTCTATCTCTATTTTAAATTCAGGTTTATATATGAAACAGAGCATTTCAATGGTGTTGCTGAGCTCCTCGAAATACTAGGAAGGTGGGTCAGGGGGGTTTTGTCCTTCTTAAGAATTAAGTTAATGAATGAATGTTTTATGTACTAACAGCTAGAGTCAGAAAAAAATTGCTTCCTATTTTAAGAGTGTAATTATAGACCACAGTGCTAGAGGGCCTGAGTTCAGTCCTCAACTAAAATAAATGAACAAACGTGGAGCATTCAGCCTCATTTCTCAGCTGAATTCCTATTGCAGGGTTCGGGGGGCTTGGCATGGTAGAGTACTGCTGCGTAGGTCACGGTCCACATCTGCTTCCCCTTTTGAAGTTGCGGAGCCATGGGACTTTCAGATCTCCTAACTAGGAGGAGCTGAAGGAAGTTGAAATTGAAATGAATGATCAGTGAGATTACAAGCAGTGTTACTCACTGTTGAAAGACTATCCTAATCTGTCTTGTCTTTGTAGTCACTAAATAGAATTACGCAATTATAGAATTATCTTAATTTTCTTTAATTTCAGATTATTCAGTATTATAGGAGAAACTCATTTACTTCAGAACATGCTGAAAATTCTAACAGTGTTGTGACTGACTCGCTGTGGCTTTAGGGAAGAAAAAGAAGGGCAGCAAAGCAGGAGGCAGCAGTCTGTAGGGTGAGAGAGACCGACCGCACACTGACCTAAGGGATAGAGCTCAGAGCAGTGGTCTTAGTTTGGAGAGGAATAGTCTTCCAGCTGTAGCACGGAAGCAAGCTGCTCCTTATGTACTGGTGGATATGATACTTTAGAAACAAGTGGTAACTCCTTAACCCTTCCCCTGCCTTCTCTTCCCTCCAGTATTATCAATGGCTTTGCATTGCCACTGAAAGCAGAACATAAACAATTTTTAATGAAGGTTCTTATTCCTATGCATACTGCAAAAGGATTAGCTTTGTTTCATGCTCAGGTAAGTTTCAGAAAAATTAAATAAAATGAACAGTTTCGAAGACAAATATAAAGGCAGAGAATTTGAGATATTGAGACGACAGTGTCAAGTATAATTGAGGAATCTGCTTTGAAAATTGCCCAAAGCAAATTTTTATTGTATTTTGTTACTAAGGCTAATAGTATCAGGTTTACTTACAGAGCAGGAGTGGTGGCGCATACCTTTTAATCTCAGCACTGGGAGGCAGAGGCCCGCCTGGTCTGGTCTACATACATACTACAGGGAGACCCTGCCTCAAAAAAAACAACCAAAAGGTTTACTTGTAGTCTGGTCCAGGACATGAGCTAATTAGCTGTGTAAGTGATGTGAATAAATCTCACACCTGCAGAATTGGCACTTTGAACCTTTGTAACCTAGTTAGATCTTGGTGGCCTCTAACATTTAGAGACTAGCACAGACCACATATGGTAGATATGACTGAAGATGAAATTGTTCTTGTAAAGTCTAGAGATAACAATTGTTTGAACCAGAACTTTCAAGATTCAAAAAGGTACAATTATATTTGTTTTCTATACTGGAATTGAAAACTAGTAAAAATTTTCAAAGTGATGTTTTTGTTGACTAAATAGGAAATCTCATGTCCCTGTGACTTCACTGATTTTTCCTAAACGTCTCCTTGCCTTCCAGCTGGCATACTGTGTTGTGCAGTTCCTGGAGAAAGACACAACATTGACAGAGCCAGTAAGTGTTGGGTTCCTGTGCATGTGCGTGGTTGGCATCAGATGTTTCATTGCGTGCTTCTGTGTAGTGGGTTATCAGAAAGCAGAACCTTAAGTTAGTCATCTAGTAGGAGGGACTTCCAAGGAGTCAGACTGCATTCAGAGAACAGGGTGGAAAGGGAGTGTGCTCAGGAAGTAACAGACTTTTTAAAATTATTTTATTTCATGTGTATGAGTGTTTTGCCTGCATGTAGGTACCTGTGCAGAGCTGATGGAGAGCAGCAGAAGAGGGCGTCAGAGCCCCTGGAACTGGAGCTAGAGAAGGTTGTTGGCCATGTGGGTGCTGGGAACCGAGCTTTCTGCAAGAGCAGCTAGTGCTCTTAACTGCTGAGCTATCTCTCCAGCCCCATAATAGACTTCTGAGTGAGCTGTGTGGTAAGATCAAAAGACAACAGGGAAGTAGTCATCTCTTCTTTTTTTGAGACGGGGTCTCCCTGTAGCCCCAGCTGTCCTGGAACTCACTATGTAGACCAGGCTGGCCTTGAACTCAGAGATCTGCCTGCCTCTGCCTCCTGAGTGCTGGGATTAAAGGCATGTACCACCACACCCGGCATCACCTCTTCATTTTTTTCAACCATCTTTTATAATTAAAACATATTGTGTGCCAGGCGTGGTGGCCCTTGGTATATCTTTGTTGAATTAACAGAAGTTAAGAGGGTGGTGGGGATAGAGAGATGGCTTAGAGTTAGGAGCACTAGCTGTTCTTGCAGAGGACCTGGTTTCGGGTCCCAGTTATCACATGGTCCCTAACGCCAGTTCCCGGGGATCCAAGGCCTACTCGTGGCTTCCGTGAGCACTTGCATGATATGGGTTCACTTCCGTACATGCAGGCGAAACACTCATAAAGTCTAGAGTGTTGAATATTTTACTTCAGAATGATTGATACAGTCACAACTGTTGAAAATATCTTGAGATTTACTATATGTAGCCCCAGGCTGGGCTGGAACTATATGTAGACATCCCAGGCTTTGATCTCACAGCTGTCTGCCTCCTGTGCTGGGATTAAAGGCACATTTCACCAAGCCTGGCTCGTTCTTTTATGTGGGGAGGTAGCACTGTATCTCAGGCTGGCGTTGAACTTGGCAGTTCTCCCTCCTCAGCTTCCCAAGTGCTAGGATTATAGATAGGCCCAGCTGTTTAATTCATTTTAAACTTTTGTTTTGTAGGTGATCAGAGGACTGCTAAAATTTTGGCCAAAAACATGCAGCCAGAAAGAGGTGGGTTGTAGTATAAATACAGCGCATTAAAGTCAGACTTCAAGTCTTAAGGCTGTAAGCCCTGCTTTGAACTGCATATCACCCAGTCTTAGTGGTTTACTTCACTGTAGATGAATCTCATCTGTAAGGTTTCTACATTAACATCATACAAATTGGTTATGTTTTTTAAATTTTTTTTTAACCCAGGTGATGTTTTTAGGAGAAATTGAAGAAATCTTAGATGTCATTGAACCAACACAGTTCAAAAAAATTGAAGAGCCACTTTTTAAGCAGATATCCAAGTGCGTCTCCAGCTCTCACTTTCAGGTACTGTGTTTTCCCCAGAGGTGACATTCTTACGTGTACTGCTTTTTCCCGCCTCTGAATCCTGACATCTCTGGTGTCTCACAGGTTGCAGAAAGAGCACTGTACTTCTGGAATAATGAGTACATTCTTAGTCTGATTGAAGAGAATATTGATAAAATCCTGCCAATTATGTTTGCCAGTCTGTACAAAATTTCCAAAGAACACTGGAATCAGTGAGTATTTTTATGTGGGTCATGAGTTCCTTTTAGTCCAGACTGGCCTGGAACTCAGGATCTCCTGCTTCAGCCTCCCCGAGCCGAGATTACAGGTGTGTGCCATCATGCCCAGCTTTCATGTCTTTTTTTGTGTTGTCATCTCTAACCATTTTAGTATTTTATTGCCTAATTCATATAAAACCTATAGAGATTTGGAACTTAGAGTAAATATTAAAATAAGTTTTAACTGAATGTGAAATACAGAGCACATACATGCATATTTCATAAAGTTGTATGTGACTATTCTTTAGCAACAGTCGTGCCAGCCTCCTGAAGACGGTACTGGTGTGGCACCGCTGCTCCGCACCGGATCTCCCTGCGCCACAGGGCCCAAAGCCAGTAGTGCTCTGTAGACTTTGAACAGTCTAACTTCTGTGGCATTCTTACTTTGCTGCTACTTTCATCTCTAGCTGGAATTAACCTAAGCATAACCTAGGCAGGGTGGAGCCTTTGGAGTAGACCAAACACTTTTTGAGCTTTAGCTAATTATCCAAAGAAAACTGCATTATCAGCTGATCTTTAACCCAGTTCAGATAGGAAAGTGTTGTACTTAGCTGCTGGCATCTAACCCAGGACTGGCTCATGTCTTTCAGGACCATTGTAGCACTGGTGTACAACGTGCTGAAAACCCTAATGGAAATGAATGGCAAGCTTTTTGATGACCTTACTAGCTCATACAAAGCTGAAAGACAGAGGTACTTGATGTGTTGAGTTATAAAATTACCTGATATTTTGTTAATTCAGGTAGGAAAGGTCCATCTCTTAGTTGTCGTATTTACAAAGCATACATTGTACATTAGAATTTGAAAGCCTCTGAGCACCATCGTGATTGTCAAGCAAAGTAACGCTGGCATTTAAAAAATTTCTTTTTGAGTGTTTTGCCTGCATGTATGTAAGTGCACCCGTGTCATGCAATGCCCACAGAGGACAGGACATCGGGACTCCCCTGGAACTGAAGTTACAGACGATTGTTAGGCGCCTTGTGGATTCTGGGACTCAAACCTGGGTCCTCTGCAAAAGCAGCCAGTGCTTTTAACCACTGAGCTGTCTCTCCAGTCATGAATCCTGGTATTTTCATAAAATTTGTTAAGCAGGGGGCTGGAGAGATGGCTCAGTGATGCCCACTCAGGAGCTAGCCCCCTGATAATTTGCTGAACGCATCATTCCTTTTTTGGGGGGGAGGGGTCTTTTTGAGACAGGGTCTCCCTGTAGCCCCAGCTTTCCTGGAACTCACTACGTAGACCAGGCTGGCCTGGAACTCAGAGAGCTGGGATGATAGGCCTGCGCCACCCCACCTGACTTGATTGCATTAGTCTCTTAAATAGCAAAAGTTCAGGCATGATCTGCCCAGGAATCAATGGGCAAAAAGAAAAGATGCTTAACATTTGAACATGGATGCTTCGTGTGACTAAGAATGATCATTTCCTATTGTCAGTGTAAGCCACCAGATTCTTTAAAAGCTGTAGAAATATAAGCCCAGGGTTTTTGCATGTTCATAACCTGTATCCAAGGTAGTCAGTTTTCATTTGACACCTGAGTGTGGGTGGGGAAGAGAGGAGCGTCTTGTCTTTAGTTGACTCAGAATACTGTGTAAGAATGTGCTCTGTAAAGCACAGTGTGTTAGTCATGGAGGAGGGATAGCCTGTATAGCCACTTTGAGCTGATACAAGAGATCTCTATGTGTTCTCTAGCAAACTGCTCAGCAGTGACTTTTTAACAATTGTGGTTTATCTACAGAGAGAAGAAAAAGGAATTGGAACGGGAAGAACTGTGGAAAAAATTAGAAGAGTTGAAACTAAAGAAGGCTCTAGAAAATCAGAATAGTGCTTACAACATGCACAGTCTTCTCAGCAGTACAGGTGCTGAATAAAGATCAGCTTCCTACCACTGCTGGATGGGCAGTTTTGTACACTTTTTGAAATACAGAAAAACTTCAAAGCGAACCTCATCAGTATAATATAATTAAAAGGCCAATTTTTCCTAGCAAGTCTAAGTGAAAAAAATATGGATTAAACATAGCCCCATGCTGTATCATGGCCACCGTATATTGTAACCTTTGTCTGCTCATTGATTGTGTCACTTTTGAAGTTTCACAGAAATGAATTTTATCATCTGATATGAGTGAGGTAATTATGGGAGTGGTAAGAATTATGACTTGAATTGATTGTGTTGCACATAGATCATCTAAGTAGGCCGCTCTGTACATTTTCCCTTTTATAATGTGCTTTTCACATTGCTGCAGACCTTAGTTAATCCAAGGAAAGAACCCTTTCTAGGGAAACAGAGGCATCTGTCCTTCCCTTTGTCTCCTAGAAGATGGTGGGATAAAAGCCCTCCCCCAAAATCTTACTACACTCTGGGTTCTGAAAAGCCTCATGTTTTCAGGCTTCTAAAGCACAAAATATAAAAGCTGGGGGAAAGTAAACCAAACTTCTTCTGTCCCCAAATACCTCCCTTCAGCAGCTGCAACCCCAGGTGTGAACAGAGTAGTGGCTGCAGGGTGGATGCTAGGCTCACCTCTCCTTCATTCCTCTAATCTCCTCGGGCTGGAGGCAGGGCCTTTCCAGTCCCTGACCCACCCTGCCCAGCCCCACCAGATGCAGGCAGGAGGCTGAGTCCCACAGTGTGATGTAGGCTGCTAGCTGTCACTGCCTGGCTTTAAAGGAAATGCAGTAGGCGTCCTCTGAGACTGACTATGTAGAAGTCTTGTATGTTCTTACCTGGTCAAGTATTTCTTACATCTTTTGTTATCAGAGTACCATTCCAATCTTGCCTTGCAGTTGTGTTTTATAATAAAAGATCTTCACTGGGGACTGAGCAGCATTTAATAAAGCCTATGTTTGTATTTTGCCTTCTGTCATTTTTGGTTTTTCAGCTCTAATACTAAGCATTCAGGAGGCCTACCCTTTTGTATATGTAAGCATATTCACAGAAAATGGCCACAAATTGTGGGGAGAGTTCTGATTAAAAACAGGAAGCTTGGGGCTCATGGATCTTTTCATAAAATTCTAAGCTGTACAATATCCATCTTCTTCATATCCCTCTGTGTTCAGAGGATAGTTTTAACATTAAAGCTAATTTAGTTAACAAAGGCTCAGGAGGATAAATCTCTTAATCTACAGCAGTACTTCTGTGAAGGTTGGAAGGTGTAACAGCTTCACTTACCTTTATGTCTACACGCTTAAACAAAACTAGCACAGGCTCTGCATGGGGCTCGTAGGTCACTGTGAAAGCAGACCCTCTGCTGTCTGTGGTCCTGTAAGAAACTTGCTGGGTGCAATGGCATGTATTTCTCACTGCGTTCAAGCAGGGAGCACCCAGGAACACTGCACTGCTGGCCAGACAAGCTGCTTTCAGGCCCAGTGCTGCTGACTGGGGACAGCACAGAGAGACAAACCTGTCACAAAACAGATGTCTTTCCAGAAGTGGCCATTGGGCTTTCTTCCTCTGAACAGGCACAAATACATCCTAATTACATAAAGCAAACCCAACAGCTCAACTTTATACAGTACAGAAAAACAATTATTAAAATGATACGTCATTCTTAGAGTTTATATAACCCAGAGCCCCTCATGCCAAGGACACACCTACTTTTGAGCTGCACTCCTGCCCCGAGACTTTCAGCTAACTTTGAATTCTCATACCTACGTGACACACAAAGGTAGCAGGGAATATATTTTTTTTTTTGAGCCAGGGTCTCCCTGTAGCCCCAACTCGCCTGGAACTCAGAGAGATCCACCTGCCTCTGCCTCTCAAGTGCTGGGATCAAAGGTGTGTGCCACCACGCCTAGTGGGTATTTACCTATACAGGTTTATTTTAGTAAAATCAGCCAAAAACAGTTTCTTACTGCTAAATTAGATTAAAATTAACCCTAACCCTCTTTAGACACGTGAGTAGTTCTCTTTTGGATTTTTTCAGACCTGACTGAATTTGGGAAATGCTACCATATTCCCTCTGAATGCACATGCTTAAAATTAATTTCAAAAAGTCTGAGAACACTTTTCATAACCATCAATGTGGAAAATATGTAGTGTGTACGACACACACACCCAATCTGTTGAAGGTTAGACCAGAAGCCTAAAAGGCCAAAGAGGTGTTTATAGATACTGAACCATTAACTAGCATATTTTTAGTGGCATCTGGCCCTCTTCCTGGCCCTCTCCATCACCACGCCTGGCTTACCTTCACGGTGAGGACATACCACAGTCAGATCCATCCTTGTTGGCAGTCCAGACTCTACCTACCTGTTTGGTGGTCAGGCATGAAGGAGCATGGGTGCCTGCTGGTTTAGCAGCTACTCAAGCTGGCACTCAATCCTTTGTGTTAACTTTATTTACCTGTTAATGAAATCAAAGTACACTAAGCAGGTACCTACTATATACATCAGTGCTCCTGGGGTTAATCACTGAACTTGCACTGCATCAGAGTCCAGCTTGAGAAGTAGGGGGTTAGTTACTCCATCAGAAAACCACTTGTTTCTAGTGGCCTTCACTATCTCATTTAAGGCCAAGCATGGTAGTACACAGCCTTAATCCCAGCACGTGGGAGGCACAGATGGATTACAGAGTTTCAAGGCCAGCAGAACTACAGAGTGAGAGGCTATCTCAAAAAAGACATCTCATTTAGTAACAGCTTGTCCAAGCCTGGACAGCACCAGTGGGCAGTGTCAAAATCACGAGGGTTTGTTACAATGCCTGGATTCTAAGGCATGACCTGTGCACCTCCGTAGGCTTTTTGGTTAAAGAAAAATCACACAGCTGTTCACTTTACAAGGAAATAATCTATGGTAAGGAGGGAGCCTTAACCTGGAGCTTGACTATGCAGTGAGTCAACAGGAAGGAAACTTCCCCTCCCCCAAGTCACTGGACAGCTCTGTGAGGTGTTCATCAATAATTTAAATACTTAAATATCTTCAGGTTATCCACTGAGTTTCCTGTTGGGCTCAGAATAGCCTCTTTCTGGGTTACTTAGACCGTCCAGTGTGACGAGCTGTTCTTCCCTTCAAGGTCCCTTTCAAGTGAGTGCAGGATGCTGGTGCCTCGGTCTATCAATGCAGCAGTGTCGTGGGGGCAACTTCAGCTTATGTGGTTTGTCGCTTGGCCTCTTCTTTTAAGGTATCGCTTCCTGATTTTGATCATCCATTTCACACTCAGTTTGGCAAACTCTGCTGCTTTGAATAATGCCAGAAAGGCCCCACAGAGAAGTGCGATGGTGTTCCAAGGATTGGCTGTGATGATCTACGAAACACGCACACACACAGGGTTACTGGTTGGCATCAGCCTTGATTCTGATCAGCATGTCATTCGTTGCATAGCACTCCAGATTGTGGGGCTACAGGAGAAGCCAGCTAATGCCTCTGCTTCATCCAGACTCTAATGTCCACAGCTAATCTCAAAAGAAAACCGTGAGCCCACGTAATGAAGTTACAGGAAGAAAGTAAGATCTCACTGAGCTTTCGTTTTGTGGCCTAATCCAACAGTGACTCAGGTTAATTTCCCTATAATTATACCCAGTCCACAAGGCTAGTTCTCACATTCGCCGTGTGGACTGGCCACCAGGCCCTGCTCCCCTTTCCAAGCCGTGATGCAGTCCTATCTAGATCTACTAATTCTTGCAACTTGGTGCTTCCTCCAGCCACAGGGCCAAAACCCTCTCTGTATTTCAGCAAAGCTGTTCATCCCACAGGCCCCTTGTGACAGTTGCTTATTGTCTGACAAGACGCTACTCTTCACTAATTGTCCTCGTTACCCCAGCACTGCTAAGGATGTAACCCGGCCCTGGCATGCCAGACAAGCACCTTCCGCTGAGCTACATTCTTACATTTGTGAGTTCCCAAGTGTAAGCCTAGTTCAGGATGGCCCAAATGAACCCTGTTTCACACATGCCAGCAAGGCCACACCGTGTGCAGGGGTGCTGTAAAGCCTAGTTCAGGATGGCCCAAATGAACCCTGTTTCACACATGCCAGCAAGGCCACACCGTGTGCAGGGGTGCTGTAAAGCATGCCTCAAGGGGAGCTCTACTTGGTCCGTAACAGGTATCTCATGCCAGATAGAGTGTTTAAAAATACCAGAACACATACTTTACACAGAGCTACAAACTGGTTCCTTCAGCCTAGTCTTCGTGGTAAGCCTCAGCATACACCCTTCACACAAGGCTTGGGCCAGTCTTACAGGTAGTGGCTGATCACCGAGCACATCCATCTCAGAATCCACCCCTGGGATCCGAAGCACACGTGTTTGAGCTCTGAGATCACGTCCCTATTTCCACGAACATCTCAACATCTTGTGACAATGTGTCAATCATTAGTTCTGAGGTCACCTCCAATAGTGTGCAACTGTGTTCCTTTGGCAAAGCTGCAGGTAACTCCTGTCCCTCCACGACTGAGAACACAGCATTAGTTAATGACTTAATTGTCTGCTCCACTTCCCACAAGTGCTTAGCCTACAGAGAGCCATTAGGAAGGAATGACTTCTGTAGTAATCTCCATAGTAACTGCAATTACTCCCGAGTGCCTGCTCTGCACCCAGCATTCTGCTAGAGACCAGAAAATGGTGAGCAGAATGGCTCCGACCGCCTTTACAGAGCCCATCTCGTGATGAAAGCAGATCCCCCTAAACACAAGTGCTGCAGCAGCACTGACGAGGTTACAAGCTGCTGTGTGTCCTGAGACAGAGAGTGAAGCAGACTTGGCCTGCACCGAGTTCATACTCTAAGCAGTACTTACATCTTGGACTTTCTGGATAAAAGGATCTTTCCACTCGAAGACCACAAAGAACAACTGAGCACTTCTCTCGGCGGCTGGTCTCTGGTCAATGTAATTAACCACACTGGTCTAGATGCAGAAGAGACAGTGCATTACCACCACCTCTGGGCCCTCCCTTGCCTGGACTCTGGGAAAGGAGAACAGGGAGGGAGTCTCAGCCCTTGGCTCTCCTGACACCATGTTTTGGAGAGGAAAGTCAAAAGTCCTATACAAGACCCTTTAACTGGTCCAAGAGCCTTACCGTGGCGGCTTCCATAGTTCTTTGGGAGAGATCTGTGATGTATAATTGTGTTTTGAGCTGCCATCAAAATCTTGTCGTCAGGTATCTACACCCAGCAATTACATTGTACTCAGAGTACCATGGAAGACACAATTCAAAGAAAGAAAGGTCCCAAATTTCCAAATACTTTGTCTTAAGAGCCAAGTGTTCTGACCCTTCATGTCTGAACAAGATGTAGTCCCAGCTCCATACTGCTGGGCAGCCCTGTAAATAGGCATGCGTTGTAAGATCTGCCGGTCAACTGTGAAACAGGTTTCACGGCACGATGGAGGGAGGACGGGCTCTGGAAGCCTGGGCCCACCTCTCATCCGAGCTTCACCTTGGCCACCCGGGAAATGGGCCAAATCTCTGCCTCTGGGACAAGGTGAGGAGTGAATGAAAGCACAACAGAAAGGCATTCCCGAGACTTGTTCAGACCTCCCGACCAAGCCAGAAGACTCCTCCTATTCAGACAGCAAAAGGCGCAGGGAGTTACTTCCGTTTTCAGCTCAGCTGGGGTTTTGCCCCTTTGCTTTCAGATCACAGGTAGGGCTGCCCCCAAGTGAGAGGTGAATAAGCACACTTCCGGCCATGTGGGACCTGGTGTTCTCAGAGCTGAGTGGACAGCGGAGCCAGGAAAGTCATCTTACTAACAGCATTTTATAGACCTGTTGCTAGAGGACGTCACCTCTCAAGGAAGGAAAAATTCCTGTCCCTGACCTAGGAGCCAGGGCTCCACCTCAGCAGAAGCCCCAAAGCTAGGACTGGGTGTCACTTCTGCTGGTGGTGGGCAGTGCCCCCAAGAAGGCAAGCCCAGTCTCCTTCCATCCCCGACCCCAGGCCTTTTCTGTCTCCCCCAAGCCCTCCCGCGCCATGCAGCAGACCCCCAGCAATCCACTGGCTCAATGCCCAGCCTTCTGACTCTAGGCCAGAGGCCCAAAAGCTTTCTGATTAGACTTGTTAGTAAAAAAATGTATGAGCAAGCATCCAGTATGCTTACATTTACAACTTTACAGATGGTATAACACACTGTTATTGGTCTAATAGCATTTTAAAACATTCAAAGGGAAATTTTGCTTTGGGGGTTTGTTTTTGTTTGTATGAAACGGCCCAGAATGGCCTCAAACTATGTGGCAGAGGCTGGCCTTGAACTCATCCTTCTGCCGCCACCTCTCAAGCTGGGATCACAGGCATGAGCCACTGTGCTTAGCCCCAAAAGAGAAACGTCAGAAGGATGCGACAAAAGTAAATCAAGAAAGCAGCCATCTTTCCTCTTGCTTCCTAACGGTTCATCAGCCACAGAACAGAGACCCCACGGTGCCAGGTTTCTCATCTGTCAACATCTGGAATCTCTATACGGTGCAGAGATGGCTCCTCTACAATCTGATTTCTGTGGGGCCCAGGGCTGTCTGCATGCCGGCCTCCAGAGGAGCATGGATGCCCCAACATGAAGGGTGCACGAAACCCTGCTGGTGATCCTGCTTCGCTGTGGTAAACGTCTCATCGAAGACCCCACCCAAATACCCTTCCCCTCTAAAGCTTCCCTCTACCCCAGATTCAAGTGTAGAGATCACCAGCTATACTAAGGAGATCCAGAGCCACCCACCTCTTGCCGGAACTCGACAGCTTCCCGCCCATCCTCCTCCTTGGTCTTCACCAGCGACATCTTAACCCAGGTGCGGAAGCCCCCTGAAAACTTCCAGCTGGAGTAGGCACTCTCACAAGCCTGCATGAAGCCTTCCCTGTCTGGGCTGAGAGAACAGAGAAGGTGGACCCAGGTTCGCCCAGGCCTGACACGACCAGAGAACGCAGTCCACCCCACTTCCTGACTCCTCTCCGAATCTTGGTGCCTTACCTGGGCTGTTGGTCAGCCAACGTCTAAAGCCAGGCCCAGGCAGGTTTCCAAACAGTTCTGCCACATGAAGGGCAGCAGCCTGATTAATGGACTCCCCCTCCCCTATGGGAGCGCCTTTCCCTCCCTCACCTCTCCTCCTCATCCCTCCCACCACCTCAGTCATCAGTACACTGGTTTGCAGATCCCTGTAGCACAATGCCCCAGGCTCCTCAGTGACCTGGAGGAGAGCCAGTAGAGCCGTTATTCATTACACATATATGAAACTGTTAAAGAACAATTTTTAAAAACAGCAAAAGCAAACACTGCCAGGCTGAAACCCTCACTATGGGAGGAAGGGGTAGAGGGGCCTCAGAAGGGCAAGAGAGACAGGCTGTAACCTCAGAAGGCGCTTGCGAGGGGATGCAGAGCAGAGGCTTGGCGCTCTGCTCCGGATGCCTGGAGCAGGGTGGTGTGTGATGCAGCAGAAGCTCACTTTCTTTTAGGGTGGGTACCACCTCCCTTCCACTGTGGCTGCAACCGTACTTCTTAGAAATGGAGCCCCCAGCTCAGCAGGCCCAGGCAGGGGCACACAGAAACATTCAACTCTACTGAGCACTTTGGGCCTCAGAGATAACACCACAGTGTTCCCAAAACAGTATCTGAATCCAACAATCACTGCAAGCAAAGGCCCAGAGCAGCAGGCAGGGATCTGCAGCAATATGAGGCAGCTCACTCTGCTCTTCAGCCCAGACAGACCACGAGATCGCTCAGACGGCACTGTGTGCACAGAGCAAGCGGCCCTCCACTCCATGCTGGCTTAGCTGCAGTCGATCTATGGGCTGAGGCTCTCGTGCTCCTCCCTCCCTTGAGGCAATGAGTGACCATCTGCAGCTCTGCTCCCCTACCCCACCGTCACCCCTCCATCCCCGGCACGGACAGGCTCAAGGTGGGAAGACAGCAAGGCCCCAGTGAACTCTGGAAGGTCACCTTTGCATGAACTCCTGGAAAGAGGAGAAGAGGAGGTAGTCGATGGCGCTGAAGTCCTCATTGCTCTGGTTCAGGCGGAACTGAAGGAAGACCAGCTCCCGCTTCTTCACTTCCTGGGGCCCCCGGACAATCAGGGCAGACTTCTGCAGGCAGAGAAATGCCAGAATCTCAGTCACAGAACTGTGTGCTCTGTCATCTCTCACACCGGGCCAACACAGGCTCAGGCACAAGCACTGACTAGCAAACCCACATGGGTCACCCAGCAGCCTCCAGGGACTGCTGCAAGACCCTCGTGCCCAGAGACATGGGCTGGCCATGGGGACTTCTTAGCACAGTGTCCAGAGCCCAGGAGAGTGTGATGCACCTTCTGCCTCCTTTACTCCACAGGCTGTCCACACTATGCAAGTTCACCTTTTCTAAGTAAGGATGTTCACCTTCACCTTATCCGCCTGCCACATTTAACTTTGTTCCTAATGTATCTACCATATGGAAACTTGCAATTTAATGCGGTTGAATGAAGTATGAACTCTGTCAATTTCTTTTTTTTTTTTTGAGACAAGGTCTCCCTGTAGCCCCAGCTGGCCTGGAACTTGCTATGTAGACCAGGCTGGCCTTGAACTCACAGAGATCCACCTGCCTCTGCCTCCCAAGTGCTGGGACTAATGGCATGCACCACCATACCCAGGCTCAATTTAAAAAAAGAAAAAAATTTTATTTATTATTTTTATTTTATGTTTATGTGTATTGCCTGCATGTATGTGAGTGCACCTGTGTCGTGCAATGCTGCAGAGGTCAGAAGAGGGCTTCGATTCCCCTGAAACTGGAGTTAAGGACAGTTCACAGCTGCCATGTAGGTGCTGGGAATCGAACCCGGGTCCTCTGCAAGAGCAGAGCCATCTCTCCAGCCCAGTCAATCTCTTTATGGCTTCTGGGTTGGCAGGCTGGGGTGAGCCGATGTATGTCAGTGTTCCCAGTACATCATGCATTTAAGTGCTGTAAGTAGTGTGACAGGCATCTGGATCCTAATCCAGAATAATGGACACTTTAAGCTTCCTCCTGTCCTCCTGTACCCTACATGTCTGTTCCTGGCCAGAACACAGCCCACAAGGACACTGGTCTGTCTCTGGGTCAAGACTGTGCTGCCCGTGGATTCGCCCTGTTCTGAAGGGCAACTCCTGCATGGGTGCTCCCTCCACAGTGCTCCTCCCATGTCCTGCGTGTTTTTATATGAGCTCGCTCCTAAATGTACTTTTAAAAACCCAACTTGTTCCAGTCCACTAACCATGGGTTAGGATGTTTGACTGAGATAAAACTGAACTGATATATTAGTTTGAGAACCATATTTTCTTTTTGAGACACTCTCAGCTCTGTGGCTCTAGGCTGTCCTGGAACTCACTGTGTAGCCCACACTGGCCTCAAATCTGCAGTGATTCTCCTGCCTTAGCCTCCCAAGTGCTGGGATTACAGGTATGAGCCACCACATCCAGCTTTGAGAAAAAAAAAATCTCTTTATACTGCCTTTCATAAACGATCTACTGATCCAGAAGTGGGGGCATGGTGTCAGGTCCAGGGTCTCTCTCTCTCCTCTGTCTCCTACTCCCTCTCCCTAAGCATAGCACCTGGAGCCCAGAGTGATGCACCCCGTCTCTTTATTAAAGGCCTGTGAATTTCTGTGGCGTTTTAAAGTCACACTCTAAGGTAACTATTTTCTAACAGGTTTTGCTTAATATACAAATGGTGCCTACTTTATGCCTGTCCAACTTCGTGAGGAGAGGCGTGTGGCTCTTGGCACTTGCCTGCCACCCTGTGGTCAGTCTCGTATTTTCCCAGATTCTGTGCCCACTTACTAATTTTCCCCCTTCCATGACGTTTTCCTTTACTCCTGAGGCAGCAAGGCTGACTGTTCCAGCCTCAGGACCACTTCGCTCTCTGAGAACTGCTTCCTAACCTGGGACCAGTGGAATGCAGTTGCCCTGCTGGAGTTATCTGCCGCCCTGTGCCAAGTTCCTAGACTGCGAGAAGTGACCCCCACAGCTCCCAGTCATTTCCCAAAGGGGTCTCCTGCCCTCACACTTCTCACCTGCGGAGGAGCTATTGTGCTCAGATGCTGACCACTCAGACAGGAAAACACTCAGGAGATGGTATCACTGGGCAATCTCACGAGGCAGCACCACCCACTGGGCAACCCTGTCTGCCACCCAGAGGGGTGTGCCCATACTCTGACCAGCACACTTTCAGATGCAACCAACAAACATTATGGGGGCAAAACACCCAAGACACAGCATGAATTTCACATCTAGGTGGTGGGAACAGGCAGTGAGGAAACACAGATTTGCAAACTGCTGCGCACAGCAAAGCTCAGCTACACTCGAAATATCATGAAATCAAGAGCAAGAGAGCCCAGGAGTCAACCAGAGCCTGAGGAGTCACGGTGTGGCTGGCCAGCAATGGGGGGGTCACTGCCACAGGACTTGATGGCCACAGCAGACCAGAACGTACGTGTTTCTGTAAAAGCTCACAACCAAGGCTCCGTGAGGAGCGGGCCAGTACAGGCCGCCTCCTGCTGGCCTGCCACTCAGTCCCAAACAGCTCAAGCAGGAGGGCAGATTTTCTGATGTCTACTTCAGATGTGGCCACTGAGGGTTCCAGAAATGCAGATCAAGCTGTAGGTGAGGCCAGAGCAACTAGTGTGTGCGCCTCACACAGAAGCCACAGGCCCTGCCCAGCGGCTGTCGCCCTGGCTGCACAATGGTCTTGAATACTTCCATTCTTCCTTCACACACACAGATCTTATTTTGCCTTCTTTTTTTCCCCCTGAGATGGGAGTTGTGCTGTGACCCTCACACTGAGCTCTTGGGTTCAAGAGAAGCCCTCTGACCTCAGCCTCCCTAGTGGCTGGGGTACGGGGTGTGCCTCCTCTCCTTACATGACCATACACTGGGCTTTGCTCAGGCAGCTGGTAGACAGTGAGGAGGAAACTTCCTAAAATTCAGCCTGTAGCTGGGCGTGGTGGCGCACACCTTTAATCCCAGCACTCTGCTAGGTAGAGGCAGGTGGATCTCTCTGAGTTCAAAGCTAGCTTGGTCTACATAGTGAATTCCAGGTCAGCTGGGGTTAACAGGGAGACCCTGTCTCTCCCCCCGCAACCACCACCAAAAAAATTCACAGCTCGTAGGCTCTAAGGGATTGATGGAGGAAGTAAACATCACTCAGGGCTGGAGGCAGTAACTGCACCTAACACCCTTCCTGTGCTGTGTTTTGTGGCTGTTTTAGAGTGTGTGCTGGGATTAAAGGCATGCGCCACCATGGCCTGCTATATTCTGTGGCATTTTATAACGCCTAAATCATGTAGGAATACAGCAAGCACAAACAGCTTTGGGAGTAAGCAGCTGCATCCCACAAAGCATGCTAGCCAACTGGAGGCAGAGGAGGCCGTCCCCAGAATAGACATCACTGCACCCCGAGTCCCACTGCTTCTCAGGGGGAATGAGGAGAGCTGGGCACCTGGACTTCTGTCAGACACGGCTTTCCTGGCTGTTTTTGTCTTCCTGCTGAGTGGGCTTTGCTTGTCCATCTTGGGGATCTTTTCTTTCGTTGCTTTCATGGGACTGTCCAGTGACCCCCGCCCAATTCTCCATTCTCAGTTAGGAAGGAAGGATTCAGGGGCAGAGCTGAGGTCCGGTGTGGGTGTCTCCCCTCAAGTGCCACATCTGCTTGCCTCACACTCTCCCTTGCCCTGAGGCCACCAGTGGGAGCACGCTGCGGCTGTGGGCAGGGAACACAGGCGGCCTGGGTTTCCCAGCGGGTCTCACTTGAGGAGACACCAGTGCAGCCTGCACAGAGGCTGCCCCACGGCTTGGCATCCAAGAAACACCCTGCCCGGCAGTTCTGCATACCAGGGAGGGGAAAGGCCTGGTGCCATGGTAGGCAGTCCTGCTCTAACCGCAGCCACACTCAGCCGGGGTGGGAAGCTGATACCTCTACATCAGCCCTCCATCTGTCCTGGGTCATGAACTTTTTGACAGTCAGCTACATCAACCAGTCCCAATCAGTAATTTGCACTTTATACCAGGTCCTCCTGGGTTCTGGTGTACCAATGAGGCCCTCTCTTGGCGTGTAGGGCTACACTGGTGTTCTACCCTCCACTGCTTTGCAAGGAGAAATCACTTCAGGAGTTAGGAAGAAGTCTAAAGTGCACCAATCAACCAGTCTCTGCACAAGTCTTTCATCTTGAACTCTTACTGTGGCTGTCACCTGAAGGAGCAGGACTGGCTGCAGAGCATGACACACTCACTGTGGTTTCCATCTGTCCCCGCCTGCATCTCACATTCCCTTCTAGGACCCTCTGAAACCCCCACTTAACCCTGTCAGAGACAAAGGCACACCATGCTGCTCCCTGCCACCATGGTGAGCCCTTGGCCCAGGAAAGCTTTTGTTCTCTGTATCTCTCACATGGCCCCCTTGGTCCCTCAAAGGACATGGGACGAAAAGGCCAAGACGTAACTGAATGCAAACACACATCCTGGCCTGCCGAGCCCCCACAGGCACCATGCGGCAAGGTTCGCCAGCTGAGCAAGACCAGTACACTGTACCACACTGACCCCAAGACCAGTACATTGTACTGACACTGACCCCAAGACCAGTACACAGTACCACACTGACCCCAAGACCAGTACACTGTACCACACTGACCCCAAGACCAGTACACTGTACCACACTGACCCCAAGACCAGTACACTGTACCACAGTGACCCCAAGACCAGTACACTGTACTCACAGTGACCCCAAGACCAGTACGCTGAACTGACACTGACCCCAAGACCAGTACACTGTACCACACTGACCCCAAGACCAGTACACAGTACCACACTGACCCCAAGACCAGTACACTGTACTCACACTGACCCCAAGACCAGTACATTGTACCACACTGACCCCAGGACCAGTACACTGTACCACACTGACCCCAAGACCAGTACACTGTACTGTCACTGACCCCAAGACCAGTACACTGTACCACACTGACCCCAAGACCAGTACGCTGTACTGACACTGACCCCAAGACCAGTACACTGTACCACCTGACCCCAAGACCAGTACACTGTACCACACTGACCCCAAGACCAGTACACTGTACCACACTGACCCCA